TCTTTTCCGTTTGAATTGGCAGAGATATTTATCCAGGGTTGCAAAAATCCTCCAGGAGGGCATTGCGTTAAAAAAAGAAAAAGAAAGAAAGAAAGAAATTTCCTGCTGTACTGGAGAAGCAGTGCCTCCCTTTTGACATTTCGTAAGGCATAAATCTGATAGCAACAGAGGCCCCAGAGACAGGGTGTTAGCTAAACTTCAGGTGAAGGCATATTGCGCAGGAAGTCGGGGAGCGCCGCGTCCTTGCCTTTGTCATCCCGAGCACACTCATCTGCAGTGTCTCTGGTGTCGTCTTTCTCCAAGGTTAGCTCGCCAGGGACTCTGGCTTTCCACTGCAGCCTCTTCAAAACGCGTGTTTTAATCCACTCCCCCAACTCCCTTGCCCGGGTCCTGATAGGTTCTGATGGGTGAGGACTCCAGGATCTGAATGTGAGAAATTTGGCAGAGCCGTCTGGGGCCTTGCGAGAGCCTGTTCCTGTTGTTTCTGGCTGGCTTCTTCAAGTCACCCCTTTGGTGAAGGGGCAGCAACAGTGACCGCCATTAGGACCAAGGGGAGGTTTTGGACCAGAATACCCACCAGTGCTCAGGGTGGGGTTCAAGAAGACATTTGCTGCACCAGCTTTGAAAAACTATTTGTTTGTTTGTTTGTCTACTTATTCATTCACTCATTCATTCATCTATTTATTTATTTCCAAGTTTATTTACTTTTGAGAGAGCACAGGAGCAGGGGAGGCGCAGAGGATCCAAAGAGGGCTCCGCACCGACAATGGCGAGCCTGATGCGGGGCTCAAACCTACAAACCCTTGAGATAGTGACCCGAGCCAAAGTCGGAGGCTCAACCGACTGAGCCACCTAGGCGCCCCACAATTTTGTTTATAAATAACGACTGGGTAGGGTTGGGAATCTGATCCTCTATGGGATGAATTTAGGGATCTCCTTAGTTACGTAGAAGACATTGAGTTGCTGTGGTGCTTGAACTTTAGTGCAAATGTGATTTACCTGCTTAGGGTTGTTTGTTTTTTACAGAATTGACCTTTATTTATTGTACTAAGGTCTGCTTGACTTTTGATCCAGAGTAAGTCTCGTTTTATGGAAACTGTAGATTCCTGGCCTCCATTCCAGGAAGATTTGCATTTTGCAAGACTTAGGTGCCATTAATTATATATATATATATGTATTTATATATATTTATATAAATATAAATATATATTTATATAAATATAAATATATATTTGTATTTATATAAATATAAATATATATTTATATAAATATAAATATATATTTGTATTTATATAAATATAAATATATAT